CTGCCGCAACCCGACAATAGCAGCAGCTGCAGCTGTAGGTTCCGGCAACGCCACTGTTAGCGTAATAAGACTTCGAGGCACCGCACTTTGCCCTTCTTGAAAAAGAGAAGAAATAAGAGGATGCGCAGACCTCATTCGCGGCTGTATTAATACGCGCTCAAGCCGGTCCCGCTGCAACGGAGGCCCGCCGAACGGAGGCAGCACAACGGCGAGCAAGTGCAGAGATTCAGCTGCAGCTGCAGAGTCTGCTGCTTCGGTCGCTGAGGCTGCTGCTGTTTCTTTGCCAGCTGCGGCTGCTGCTGTTTCACTTCCTGCTGCTGCCGCTGCTCCGAGTGAAGTGGACTCTAACTGCAGCGAATGCAGCTGCTGCGGGACAAGACAGAGAGCCTCATACCAGCTCATCCGCCGGCAGGCAGCAGCGAAAGGGTCATTTCGTTGGCTCCTGGGCTCTGCAGACGCCCCTGACATCTCCTCAGAGCCTCGACGAGACAAGCAACTGCTACCACAGGAGCAGAAACAACCATTCGCGATCCCGTTGCTGCTACAATCCGGGAAATCTTCACTTAGAAATTGCCGCAAAAAAGGCACTTTCACTTTGCGGCGTTGGCTGCAGAACTGGTCTTCAGTTCCCCTGCTGCGAAAGATGCAGCTCTGTATGTTGTTACAACCAACTTCAGCAGCAGTGTTGTCCGCATCAGCAGCAGCGCCCGCATCAGCAGCAGCGGTGGTGTCCCACAGCTTCGCTCTAAGTATGGTCTCGCACACAGATGGCACAAGAAGCTTGCTTTCAACTGCAGCGCGAATGTGGCTAATTAAGAATGAAGCAGACTCGGCCGTAGGAGCTGCAGCACTGCACAGCCCCAAGGGGCCACCGACAGATTCGGGCAGCTGCAGAACGGGAGCAACAAAAGCGTCATTAGGCTGCTGCTGCAGCTGCTGTTCCAGCAGCCGCTGCACGGTCTGAATTCACCGCAAAGTCGCAGAAAAAGGAAGCCACAGCAACTAAATCGGCAGGCAACGATACGCCACGGGAATGAAGTGCATATACAGGGCGGCGGCCACACCCGCAGCAGCAGAATCAGCAGCAAGAAAATAGACTGCAGCAGCAGCACTTCCAAAAGCAGCAGCAGCTGCAACACCAGCAGCAACTGCTGTTGCTTTGTGCCACGGCTGCAGCTCGAAAGCAGGGTCTCACCAATTCCTGCTCTTGCAGTAGTTTAGCCGAAGTCGTCTCTCCACGTAGAGCTGCGCATGGCGTAAGCGGCTGCTGCTCCTGGTGCAGCTGCTGTTGCTGCTGCTGGTCAGCTACAAAAGCCCCCAAGACATGCTCCTTTGGATGAATCTCTTGCATATTTGGCCCCCCCGAAAAAGACCGAGGGGGTTTCACAGCTGCAAGCGCAATGAGCAGCCGCCGCTGCTCCATCAAGCATGCTTTGGGGCTCACGGGGGTGAGGCCGTCTAGCTGGAGCAGCAGCCGTGTCACAGCAGCCGTGCATGCAGACATGAAAGCGTTCGGATTCAGCTGCTGCTGCTGCTGTTGCTGCTCTTGCTGCGCAGAGCTCGAGGCCGTGACTGCAACTTGGTCGAGCCGCCTGATAGCTAGTGCAACTTCCTTCGCGGTCGGTTTGCTGCTGCAGATACCAGCAGTGCCTATGGTGTAAGCTGATGCTGCTGATGTCTGTGCTGCATGCGTGGGGCTGAAAGCGAGCAGCGCCGCCAGCAGGGGTGCAAGGAATGCATGCTGCTGTCGGAGATGGATGTCGTGAGTCTCAAATGAAGAAAGCCCCGGCGACAGTGGGCTGCTAAGCTGGCCGCAAATCCTGAAAAGATACAGAGAGAAACAAGCAAAAAAATACGCGCCTGCAGAGGGCTGCTGCTGCTGCTGCTCCGACTTCATGTAAATCCTACAGGACCGCCCTTCTTCACAGAAAAACGCACAAGAAATGGTTTCGATATACCACAGGCGGAATGTGCCCTAGATGCCGCCAGTATCACAATATAGTGTTCTAGCAACAGAAGCAGAAAAGACTAAGGAAATACGCAGAGTAGCTGTAGCAGCAGCAGCAGCAGCGCTGCCTCATCTTACCGGCATGTCAGTCCATTGTGGCTATCGGCTTCACTCGATGAAGTCTCGGAAAGACTTGCAGCCTTATCACTTCCTGTAAACAGCTGCTGTTGCACACTAACTGCGCATGAGCCTTCCTCTCGGCATTGCTGCTGCTGCGGCTGCTGCGCTGCGGCCGAAGTCGCAGCCGCGGCAGCAGGAGCACTGGTAATCTGCTGAGGGCAAGAGAAGGACCAAGAAAGAAGTAGCACAGTCGCCGCTTTCAAACCATGTAGCTGCTGCTGCTGCTGGCCATGGTTGCTGTTGAAGGATGCGGCGGCAGCGCGGCACCCTGCAGCAACTGCTGCGGCGGCAAGCGCTTCTGCAGCGAGCTGAGACCCCTCTGCGTGCCTCTGGCTGCCCGGCTGCGCTGCTGCCCCCTTCCCAGCATTCTGCTGCTCCATGTTTAATGAATTGAAAGCCTTGGGTGGCCCCTGGGGCCCCGCGGGGTGACCCTTGTGAAGATCCGCCGGGCGCACGCGGGGCTGTGCTGCTGGCGGCAGCAATGGCAGCTGCAGGAAGAAGACATATGCAGCGAAAAGAAGCTTCCTGGGACACGCGAGCTGCGCTGGCTGCAAGTGGCTGGACTTGGGGCTCGAAGGCACCCCGAGAAGCAGGCAGGGAGGCCCCGCTGGGCTCTCTAGGCTGAGGCGACGCAGAGGGAAGTAGCGGCAAGAGCTGCTGCTGCTGCTGCTGCTGCTGCTGCTGGGGCTCTTGTAGGCCTTCACGCATACTGCCTGCCTCTTTGCTTCCCAGTGAATTGTGGCAGACACAAATGGGGGCCCGTCTAGCATGCTGTCAAAGCTGCGGCTGCTGCCGTTGGTACTGTTGCTGCTGCTGCTGCTGCAGGCCTCCCCCGTTGGCCCCCTCCCACGCTGTCTCGCCGCTGCTGCTGCTGCAGCTGCCTTTACTAGGGCTGGAATGGATTCTGGCTGCCTCTTCCATATTGGTAGAGACCGAAGCAGCGCTATAGCAAGCGCGAACCGCTGCTGATCAGTTCTGCTATCCTCACCTTGGAGCTCCTGCTGCTCCTGCCTCTCCCGTTGCTGCTGTCCCTGCCTTTCCTCTTCCCGCTGCCGTTGTTGCTGCTGCTGCTGTTCTTGCTGTAGCAAGTAGCTGTAGTCTTGTTCCTCCCGCTGCTGCTGCCCTTGCGTTCGCTTCTCTTGCTGACCATGCTGTTCCAGGCGCTGCTTTCCCTGCTGCTCCTGCTGCTGCTGCTGCTGCTGCTGCTGCTGATTTTCAGCCTCCAGCAGCGGGACGCACTGCTCCAGCAGCGGCGGCCGCTGGAGGCGTCTGGTCAGGGCCCGAGTGTGGGGAGAGCTAGTGGCTGGAGTTACTTCCCTAGGGTTTGTGGCTGCCTGTGCTGCCCTTTCAGACGCAGCAGCAGCAGCAGAACTCCCTTCGTTTGCATACATCTCCGTAAAGCAATCCACTCGCCGGCGTTTTGCTGCCAGTGGGAGAAGCTCTGCTGCTTCTGCTGCCGTTGCTGCCTCGGGGTTTGCTGGTGTTGCTCCCGCTGCAGCTGTCGCTGCTGTTGCTGCAGCCGGAAGCGATTTGACCGCTGCATCGGGCTGAGAGTCATAAGGGCAGCAGGAAGGAGAGAGAAGGGAGGAGGGAACCTCTTGAAGAGTGGGAGGCCAAGCTTTTAAAGAAAGAACTGAAGGCGGCAAAGGGACAGGGAAAGCAGCGGCTCCTGCCGGCTTGAGCTCCCTGCTGCCTTGGCTCATGATCTACAGGCCCTGGAAGCTGTACACATTACGTTGGATGTCTGTTTTGCATGAGTTTGTGTTCGTTTCCCTCCATAATAATCCACATAAGCTAGACAGCGATCACCCAGGGCAGCTGCTGAGCAGCCCGACAAACTAACTATTCATTTCCAGGCAGACAAGAAACAGAAATACGCATCCCAGACTCTCGGGGTGCTTCCACAAAACAAGGGCGGGAAAACAGGACAAGTTCAGTTTCTTTCAAGACCTGCTGGGGGGAAGAACGAAGGCGCGGAAGATTTCATTGCACTGTAAGAACCCAGGAAACGCGGATATGGCGTACATATCTGATTGGTTACACTCAAATAATGTAAGAACAAAGCAAAAATGTAAACAAACCGGTATGCAAGGCTAGGGCGCCGTTCTCCAAGAGCCTAAGGTCATGCAAGGACAGCCAGCTGAACGCGGGTCTTCTTCGTTAGAAGGCCACCGCCTGCATGAAACAGTAGCATTTGTAAAATGAATCATACTTATAAATAAGACTGAACATTGAATTTTGAAATAGGACACCACCAGGTAAACTGAAAGACATGCAGCATGCCAACCACGGGCCTATGGCGCAATGGTAGCGCGTCTGACTCCAGATCAGAAGGCTGGGCGTTCGAGTCGCTCTGGGCTCAAGTTATGCTATTCCGTACTCCAATGTTTTTTCCTTTCGTATTGAAGTCTCACAGTCTTTTCAATGTACCTGAGGCACAATCATTCGCTATTTAAGGCCGCCTCACTCGTTTGTACCCTGAGTTCCAGGTCTGGCCCTCTCGGCTGCGCATGCAGCTTGAGGCAGGGGCTTGCGGCAGAGCCTCCACAGTGCCCTCCCTTGTTACTGCGATTCACTTCATCCTGCGGTCCTAACTTCAAAATTCAATTGTAAAATTGTCGCCTGTCCATACTGGGCGGGTCGTAGATCCCTTATACTCTCTTCCCCTTTGCTTCCGGCGTGCTGCGGAGGAGGCGTGGTGGAGCTCTGCTCTGAAGACAGTTATTGTTCATATAACTGTGTTTTACAGCTTGCGTCATTATTGACGTTCGTCCAAAGGCCTGAATGGCCATAGCCTCCCTGAAAGGGGCTCGCGCGCCTTTCATTCAACTTTTGCCCGCAGGCTTCTCTTGCCAAGGTAGCGACCGCGAAAATGGCAGCAAAACACCGTAAGCACCATTTCTTCCTGTAGCGAGATATCCGTGGCTTTTCTGCACTAGTTTTTTGAGTAGGGAGCTGCAGAAGCATGCACCTATCTTAGCTCTTTTGCCCCGTATGCATTTTCCTCACCTGCTCGTGTTGCTTGTTGTGCCATGCAGATCCCGATTTGATCATGTGCCGTAAACAGCCAGGCATTGGTAAGAAGCTCTTTCACGGCTAAGTGCTTCGCACAGAACAACTCAGAGGGCTCCGTTCTGCATTGAAAGGCGACGGAAATGTTGACTTGCGCCGGCATGAGTGTTGCCACTTATGTTTTTTCTTTGTTTGCGGTTGTCAGGCCGGCAAATATCTTGCTTTTACCGTTTAATGTATTTGAATTTTTCGTTTTCGTGCAGCGATCGGCCGGCTCTGCGAACGTTGCGACGGCAAGTGCCCCATTTGCGACAGCTACGTGCGCCCGCACACCTTAGTGCGCATTTGCGATGAGTGCAACTACGGCTCATTTCAGGGCCGCTGCGTCATTTGTGGGGGCCAGGGAATTTCGGACGCCTTCTACTGCAAGGAGTGCTGCCAGATGGAGAAGGATGTGAGTCTTATGGATGGCTATCATCAGTACATTTCAGCCGCTGTTGCAAAGATGCCGTTTTCGTGTTTTTGTTAGCCCAGTTGTACTTGGCACGGACCAAGTTGTTTATGTTGACCTGAAACCCCAGCAGTGTACGGTTTTATGCGCATTTTGCGCTGTTTTCGCATTTGCTTGTCATGTGTCCTTCCATGCGTTAGCTTCACTTGTTATTTGCTGCTAGGTGGTATTCACATCATGAAGGTATTTTCAGCATTAATGTGCAGTGTTTTGGGATCTGTAGATCAGCATTCGTTTAGCTGTATGCGCATGTGTCTGCAGCGCGACGGCTGTCCCAAGATAGTCAACTTGGGAAGCGCCAAATCAGATTTGTTTTACGCCCGGAAGCAGTTTGGGGCGAAACGGAACTAGCACTGGCCTTCCCCTTTTCTCTGCCTTTCTTTGTTCGGAAAGGCGAGGACAGGGGTTTAGGGCCTGTGGCGTGGGACTCAGGTTGAGGGTTTGGAATTGGGGTTAGGATTGGGGGCCCCTACTGGATTTTTGGCAAGACGCGGTCCTGCCAACTTTACTTCAGCACAAACCATGCAGAATCAATTCGCTTTCGAAGATTCAAAGTGGACGGGACAAAAACTGCCGAGCCACTGCCAGGAAATTACCTAAACAGCCTTTATTTTGGTAGCCAGAAAACTAAGCAGCAACATTTGAACAAGGACAGCCAGAGAGAGGAATCCGTGAAGCAGCAAACAAATATACCAGTTTATTTTGCGTTTGGTGGCCCAAGGAGGCAAACACAGTTCGTGTTTGTCAGATGCCTTTTAGGTCCACTTTGTAGATGATTAACCGTCACCTCCAGAATGCAGAAAGGCCTCTTCGAAATGTTGATGCCCAGTGCTGGCTGAACAGATGGGCATCGCTGGCTGCAGTTAGTACTGAGTGCGATTGCGGGTAAAAGTACTTGGGTCTAGCGGCCAAAGGGCTACGATAGATACGGAAATGCTGCTGCGGCAAGGTAAGAGCAAAACCCAGCTGCCGAAACGGGTAGTTTCAGAGGCTTCTGGCCTAGTCTTGAAGCTGTCAGCAGCTAACTGGGGCCACAGGTGGCTGCAATCAAGACTAATAACCTACTATCCATGAAAAGTGGCGCAATTGAAGGGATTTACCGTGGCTAAGAAGTGGCTTGCGTCTGCGTGTCTGCGGCAAATCACACTTGCCAAGAGATCCTCTCAGTCACGCAGGCAATTGGAAAAGATACCTGATTGAGCTAGCAGCAAATTAAACATTAGGGGCTTATGAGGGGGCTCTTGGAAACTAATGTGCTCTCAGAAATTTGACGGGTTTTACTTGCTGAAGTGCTATGTGCGCATACATGAGTACTATCCAACCAATTTAGCACCGAAGTAAGTAAAAGTGTATTGGGCTGATCCCACAAAAGAAGGCGCAAAAAAGCACTTGGACCCACCGTTAGTGTTGCAAGACATGCGTCGAAAGGCGTCCACTTCTCTCAGTGAAAGCCTAGCGTGAGTTCAAATTAGTAACATAACCGCGTGTACTGCTCGTGGCCTGGCTTGCATGCGGAAACCGAGGTCTAGTACTCAGAAATAAAACTCGCATGCAGTACCTATAAATACGTGTAGATACAGGCAGAAACTCATTTATTTACTTATTTACGTACTAGCGCTCGAAATGCCCTCCCAAGTGGCACACAGATCCACAGAAACGTGTTGTGGTGTGCGCGTGAAAGAGACAGATTGGTGAAAAATTAATTTCCCGTGATCTTTTCCTATTTGAGAGTTTTTCTTGACGACTATGCCTGCTGAATGCCTCGCTTTTTCCACTGCGCGCCCCCCTGTTGTTTCTCTATCGTTAAGTGAAGGGGCGCCTAAAGAAAGGAATGCCTGGGGATACCCTCCTACAGCCCTACATTTGGGTTTTCGCTTAAAAAGTAACATTACAGAAATGTAGGAAGAAGACACGAAGAGTTAACGCAAAGAACGACACGAAAAGGTAACGCGAAGACGCGCACCTCCCTGCCTCCTAACCAAGGACAGTCGCACACCAGCAACACCCATCAGCACACTTCGCGAATGAACTGGATACAGAAAAAATCAAAAAGAACTCTTTCTTTGCTTCACAATAATGTCACAAGCACAAAAAATGCCACAAAAGGCTTCTGCAGAGGAAGTGGTCACAACCCCCGCGGGTGCAACCCCACAACCAGCATCGAGACAGAATAGGGGGTGACCTCACCTTTTCGTGGATCTTCTCCACTTTCAAAAGCATTAAAAAGTCTACGTAGTAGTTAATATTAGTAATATTTCGGGCATGGAATAGTTTTTTTGATTTAGTTTACTCTAAAAAATGCAAAAGCACAGATTCAAGCGCCAGCACCCTGTGGGATTGTGACGGGGGAGCTACTGGTCCAGTGGCGCACCGGTGCAGACACGTGCTGTCGAAGTCTAATTCCCTTGCTTCGAAAAGAACAGTTTTAAAATACATAAAATCATTTGTTCAATCTGATTTAAGCGAATTATTGGATTTTAGAACTAATAAAAAGGGAGAAATAACGCGCACTGCAACAAACTGGCAACCAACACTACCAGTGTGCAAGGGCCAGCGGCGCGGCGGTCCGTCTCCGCGCGCTGCTGCCGTTCCAGTGCGCCTTCCACTCGCAATGATTTTTTATGTATACAGTTCTCGTTATTTTTATTCTTCCCATGTTCAGTTTAATTGTTTTACAATTGAAAAAAGGAACAAAGGGTGAAAGTTTGTTGGTTTTGTGCCACTGCCATTTGCAGTGGTTCAGTTGTGTATGTCTCGTCTCGTGTCCTGTTGTGTGGAGGTGTGTTTGCGTCAGCTGAACCTATTTTTGTTTTTTTTTTGTTTCCCTTTTGTAAGACTAGTTTAAAGCATAATAGGCTTAAGTAAAGGCCAAGAGTAGCGCTTAGGAGCGGTGTCGTTACTCTCTCTCCTCCCGCGTTCCCGTGTGTGTCTGTGCCTCGTTTTAATCTGTTGCAGATGCAGTTGCAGCTACACCTATTGGGAGCTTTGGTGCTCCACTATGGGGCTAGCCAGTTGCCTCGGGTCTGGGCAGGGGGCGCAGAGGTATCCGATGGGTTTCCCCTTCAAGAGGAGCCGCCCCACGCTGGTGCTGCAGCAGCAGCAGGCGCTGCTTCCAGTGAAGCAGCAGCCGACAGAGAGGGAGAACCTCAAGAGAAGGGCCAGCCTGGAAAGCCCAGAGCGCCTATGATGGAGGTAGTGAAGGTTGCTTTGGGGGCGCTGCAAGGACATGCACCGGAACTCCTGGAGAAGCTCAAGGAAATAGCGGGGAATGGCAGCTGCCATAAACAGCAGCAGAGTTGCCGGATGCGGGGAGGCACCAAGAGGAAGAGAAGTTCGAAGATTGCGGAAGCGTGGGACTTTCAGTCAACTCCAAGAGGAGGTGAGGAGGCGAAACGAGAAGCAGAAAGTGCAGATGCACAAGATATGACTTCTGGGGAGCGGGGGTGCCAGCGACAGAGGCGGAGTTCGGGAAGTGATTGTCCTGAAGTTGGAATTGTAAAAAGAGACGCGGCAGAAACGAGGTGGGGAAGAAGAGATGAAGTCGTAAGCAAGGAGGTGGGGGACCGTCTCGGGCTGATGGACACGGAAACCAGAAGGTCAGGGAGCGCAAGTGGGTGGGGGAGATTTGGCAAGACTGGAGTTTCGCTGCCGAGGGGTGCAGCAGCAGGAGCAGCAGCAGGAGCAGCAGCAGCAGGAGCGGGGTGGGAAGCAGGAGGAACGGGAAGTAGAGGTGCAAGTGGGAACGCGAAGAGGAAGAGAGCGGAGGGAACCGAAGAGAATGCGAAAACAATGAGTAGACCGGAATCGGGAAAAGACAGAGCTCGTGCGGCTCTTGCCAGGGTAATAACGGCGCAACAGTTGCTGAATTTACTGAAAAGACGTGCAGCAGCAGCGGCTGCTGCTGCTGCTGCTGCTGCTGAGGGCAGCGCTCATGGTGATGCCTCCCGGGCTGATGGCGTTCCTGTATTGTTGTCTGGAGAGGTGTGAAGGTAGAGTAATTCGTGTTGAAGTTGACGTTTTGGTCAGCATCATGAAGAGGAAAGGCTCATGGGAGCGGCCAGAAACGCAGCTACAGAGTGAGCAGCTGTGTGGTGGCCAACCGCCCTTGAGCTGGTTTGCTGGAACGCTTTGTACTGAAGTTTCTTTTTTTTCCTATTTTTTTGTCTTCCTGGTCAGCCTCGTTTTTGTTTCACACCTTTCACATCTGTTTGGCGCTGCGAGAGCCGTCGGTCTTTGTGACTTACCTTCTTTTAGCGTTTTGTGGGTTTAGTGTCACTGTTAACTCTTCACTTGTCTGTTTCGGCACGTCCATTTGTTCAACTCATTGAGCTCTCCTCATTGAATCTATTTGTTCATTTTTGATTGTGGCTTTTCATTGCCATGCTTCCCATTTGATGAATATTTTCCATTTGAATGCTTTGTAGACCCAGTCTGTTGTTCACGCTTCGTTTTGTCTGTTTTCCACATTTGTTCTTGTTCCGATGCCCTTTGAAATATTTGAATCATCTAAGTGCGGATATTTGAACCAGCCTGTTGTTTGAATTGCTTGTGTAGTTGATTTGAATTGTGCATGCACAATTTCTAAACGTTTCTGCCCGAGCGGCGTGCCAGTAAGTGCCGTGTTTCTTGTTCCTCCTGTTGTATCATTTGTGTAATGATCGTTTGTAAGCATGTCATCTAGGTCATAATTTGAACTGTATGCATATTTTGTATTCGGTGTCAGTATTTCCAGATGCTTGATAGGTTTGTGTTTGCCATTTTGTTTCGCTTGACAGAACATGAGTGATGCCTTTGTCGTGGCAGAGGGAGCACTTCAATTTGAAGCCAGCGTGTCACATATTTGAATCTGGGAAATCTCATGTGAATTTGAATTAAATCATCTCCGTGAAAGTGCATACATCATGCAAAAGTGTTTTAGTGCTAGTGGTGAAATTATCTGGTGAAACTAACTTATGGAGGCGCGCGTTGGGCCGCGGCTGAAGTTCTTGGATTCCGTCACAGGCTTAGCTGTGGATTGAAAAGGAGACGAAGCTGCAGCCCGTTATTATTACTATTATTTTTCTATTCACGTGGATCATTTATTTTTCCATCGGTCGTTTCGACGGTCGCGATACGTCGGTTGTTGCACGTTCTATCTTCTTGTGCAAGTATCCTTTTGCATAGATGTGCACTTCGATACATATTTTTTCTTTTTTTCTCCCTTCATTTAGCTTTGTTTTTGCTTTGTTGTATCTTTGTGAAGGTTAGACACGCATATTATACTGGTATTCTGATAAGGGTGTTTCCCTGTCGAACTTTTACGTAGTGTGTTGGTGGAAAAAGGTGTATACGTATTCTATACACATGTACATGTATGGGCACAGCGTCTTTCCAGTATATTTTTTCTGTTGCTGGGCGTGTCTATAATGTATCTGCCGCTGCAGCAAACGGTCTGGCGCCAGCAGCAGTTGCATGCCTACGTTCAGAGCTCATCCTTTTTAAGTGCAAAACGGCTGGGCAATAGAAAAGATTAATCGGGGTTATATGATAAACGGAGTGCGCATGCAAATTTTGTGGGGAGCAGTGACGTGCCCCCTGGAACTTTTTGTCAGTCGTGCCCCGCATTTCGCATGCATTTGTTCGCATGCAATTGTAAATAATGCTGCAGAGCCGGCAGCAGCAGCTGATGCGGTAGCTGCTCCTAGTAGGCCTGCGTTAAGCAGGAGGCGGCATCTCATGCATGCCCGTTGTTGTATCCGTATGTGGCCGCAACGGCGGCAGCTGCAGCAGCGGCAGCTGCAGCAGTAACAGGCGAAACAGCTGCAGCTGAATTAACCGCTGCCGCTGCAGTTGCAGCAGCGGCAGCAGCAGCAGGAGCAGATCTTTTGAGTGTGTGTATATATTTGCCTGTGTGCTTTCCCGTTTTCTGCTGCGCTCGCTGCTCTTTGTCCGGTTTCTAAAGGACTGTTCTTAGCCTCGGTAAAGAAAGTTGAAGAGGATCTTGTTCGGATCCGAAACGAATGTGTGGATTAATGGATTTAAAAGACTGGACTGCCTGATTCTCTAGAGACTTGTGAACATTTAAGGGATTAGGATCCGCTGCTGGCAAGAGGAAATGGAAGAAGGGATTCATAAGTTCTGCATAGGCGCTGCAGAAGAACTGTAGGGCAGAAGTGGTAGTTAGTCGCTGAGTTGGGGCTGTTTCGACTGCATACAGATCCAGTAGAACCATTATGCGAATTAATTTGAGCCTAATTGGACTTTGAAGAGGAAGTACCAGAGAAATAAGTGCACTAATAGAGGATAGAGGCTGAGCTCTTGCATTAGTGAGGGGAGTGCAAAATATGCTTTCTTTTCAGTAATGCGTACATCCGGAATTGTTTTCAGGAATGCATATTCCTTCGAAATATGCATTACTATGTGCTTTCCTGAAGGGTTTCTTTGATCTCTCCAAAGTTTTGTTTTGTTTCGGTTGAGTCTGGAGTTGCCGAGGACTCAGTTCGCCATTTGCGCGTAGCGTGGCTTCACAAATGTTGTAATTTTTCATGACATTTTCACGTCATTGTCTTCACCTTATTTTCGTTAAAAAACTTGAATGGATGGAAAGAGAATAATAGTGACAAATTGGGAGTTATTCAGTTCTTTAAGGTGAAAGACGCTATTAATAAATGAAAGGCTGGGGTTGCTGGAGAAGATGCTGAATTGAGTTTAATACAACAACCCCACTCATTTCCGGCATTCACTTGAAATGCCTGTAGTTAACGGAGGTAAACTTAAGAAATAAAAGATTTCCTAGGCATTTTGAAGTTAAAATTAGATTATTTACGTTGTTTTACTTTCAGCTCCTATATTTTGCGCTGTTTATCTTGTCTTGTTGCTGTTTTTGCAAAGATCGTGAGCGCGGGGAAGCAGAGATGGAAAGAAGTCCGCAACACAGCAACATAAATGATTGAATGGTGTCTATTTATTTTCCAAATATGTTATTTTTGAATTTAAATTTTGTTTTTCCGCAAACTCGCATTTCAAACGCCAACACTGCATGCTGCAAGACAATAACAACAACCCCACCACCGCGGCCAGCCAAGTTACGTGTGCCTTTTCCATGGCCCTACCAATACTTTCTTTTAATTCTTTTTTTCTCCGCATTTCAATATTCCAAAAGATAAAACAAATTTGGCGAGTTTATTTATTTATTTTTGCTCCATTCCTTCAGAGCAGCGCGGCGGCGGCTATGTGCGCGCTGCCGCCGCCGTCCTAGTGAGCTCCTGCAGCAGACAGGAAGTTTCGCGGAAATAAAACATTAAATTAGGTGAAGAAGCAGTTTAATGGATTTAAACAATTATTTATCTAATTAATTCACCCAATGCGCTAAGAAAGTCCGGCACGAGCCTGATGCCTCAACTCCCCATCACTGCAGCGCGAAACCGCAGCAGAAGCCGCGGCTCCATCTGCCGCAGCAGTAGCAACACCAGCAGCAGTAACAGCAGCAGCAGCAGCAGCAACGCCTTGAGCTGCAGGCTAGATCTCAGGCAAAGGGAGGTGGGGCCCACAGCCCGGAGAGAACCCCTTTCAGCAGCGCGTAATAGGCAGCAGCAGCAACAGCAGCAGCAGCTGCAGCAGCAGCAGCACAAAGACAGGGATGCAAGGGCTACCGTAGCCCCCCCAGGTGCTGCGCCTGCTGCCACTGCAGCAGCAGCAGCAGCAGCAGCAGCAGCACCCGCCAAGATGTTATCCTGGATATCCAGGGGCCCCCCAGAGGGGGCCCTGCAGCAAATTGACAATGAGGAGCCTCCCATGCTGACAGCCAGAGAAGGCTTCACGTACGGAGAGGCAGACGCAAGCCAGCAGCTAAGTCGTGAGCAGCAGCAGCAGCAGCAGCAGCAGCAGTACGGCTGCCCGCAGCAGCAGCAGCAGCGCTGGTACCCGCAGCAGCAGCAGCAAATGGAATCAGCAGCAGGCACCCCCGATGACTTTTTTTCCCCACAGTCTGCCAGCCCAGCCTCTGAACAGACGCCGGAGTTGACGGAGCTGGAGCAGGACCAACTGCAGCAGCAGCAGCAGCAGCAGCCACAGCAGTGGTTGCCGCAGCAGCAGCAGCAGCAGCAACAGCGGCTGCCGCAGCAGCAGCAGCACCGCTCCTACTCCGCCTCAAATTTTCACCAAAGTTCAACAGCTCATCGTGTAGAGCAGAACTGCGGCCCTTACTCGGTCTGGTCCGACTCGCAGCAGCAGCTGCTGCGACAGCAGCAGCAGCAGCAGCAGCAGCAGCAGCAGCAGCAGCAACAGCAGCAGCAGCAAAAGCCGCACCCGGTTTCTGTGAGAGACTCTGGGCGCCACGCTGCCAACGACCCCTACTGGCTGCAGGAAGTGGCTGACCGCCTTTTGCACCAGCAGCAGGAAGAGCAGCTGCAGCAACAGTTGCTGCAGCAGCAGCAGCAGCAATCGCAGCCACTAGAGCAGCAGCAGCAGCACAGGTACTGTTTCGGAGGACAGCAGGTGGAGGATCTTCAAGTGTTGCAGACATCCTGGCAGCAGCAACTGCAGCAGCAGCAACAGCTGTACGCGCAGCAAGAGCTGAGCCTGTCACAGCAGCAGCAGCAGCACATGCAGCAGCAACAGCAGCAACGCCAGCAGCAAGAGCTGAAGCAGCTGCTGCCGCACAGGCCGGCATGCACTGCTGCTTCTTACACAAGTCTCAGCAGAACCGCGTCACCTGAGCAGCAGCGAGGGCAGCAGGAACTGCAGCAGCAGCAGCAGCAGCAGCAGCAGCAGCAGCGGGAGCATCTAGAGCAGCAGCAGCGGGAGGGATTACAGCAACAGCAGGAAGCATTGCGACAGCAGCGTCTTCAGAAGCAGCAGACAAGGCCCTACCAGCTTCATCTGCAGCAGCAGCAGCAGCGGCAGCAGCAACAACAGCAGCGGCGACAGCAGCAACAGCAGCAACAGCAGCAACAGCAGCGCCCTCGCATCACTACGAGGCAGCGGCTTCTATCTCCACCTGTAGGCTTGGCTGTGCGGTGTCCCCAGCAGCAGCAGCAGCAGCAACAGCAGCAGCAGCAGCGAAGGCCTTCCTCGAGTCGAAGGGAGCCAGTAGGTACAGCCACCTCAGAAGCAGCAGCAGCAGCAGCAGCAGCAGCAGCAGCAGCAGGCAGGGGCCCCCAGAAAGGGGTGGTTAGTGCGCCTCGCCAGTCTATGAGGCCCCCTTTGGGGCCCCCCCGCGCGTCAAGTGCTGTGGGACGCAGAAGCAGCACAGCTTCTGTAGCAGCAGCAGCAGCAGCAGCAGCAGCAGCAGGGGAAGACGCTGCAGCAAAAAAGCCCCGCAGCATCTCCATAGGGGCCCCCCCAGCCCGACAGCCACTCTCGGGGGGCCCCCGGGCCTCCCCCGCAAGCCAGAGGGCCCCCTTGCCTCAGCGGGGCGCATGCAGCAGCAGCAGCCGCCTTAGGGGGGCCCCTGTTAGGCGCAGCAGCAGCAGCAGCAGCACTCTGAGGCCTTACCGACCCTCAGCAGCAGCAGCAGCAGCAGCAGCAGCAGCAGCACCTCTGGCCAGGGAAGCCCCCCTATTTCGCACGGGGCAGCAAAAGGAGGCGCTTGCTGGCGGCCGCAGCGGGCAGCAGCAGAGCACTGCTGCAGCACAGAACGTGGAGTCTGCTGCTGCTGCTGCTGCTGCTGCTGCTGTTGCCGCGGCTGCTGCTAGTGTTCCTGACACTGCTGCTGCTGAAGCCGCAGGAACCGCTGGGCCTTGGGCAGCGTTGGCTGAGCCCTCACAAGAGCAGCCACAGCAGCAGCAGCAAGAGCAGCAGCAGCAGCAGCAGCAGCCGCAAAATCAGCATATATTTGGCGTCAAAAATGTTTTGGGTGTCACGTGTCAAGAGCTGCAGCAACAGCAACAGCAGCAGCAGCAGCAGCAGCAGCAGCTGTTCATGCCGCAGCAGAGCTATCGGGAGCACTGGAAGGAGCAAGAGATGGCCCTCAGACACTTCCCGCTGCAGCAACAGCAGCAGCAAAAGCAGCAACAGCAGCAGGAGCAGCAGCTGCTACTGCAGCAGCAGCAGCAGCTGCAGCTGCACCTGCAGCAGCAGCTACGTCACCGAGTGCCCCCGCTGCCTTCTAGGGGCCCCTATCTTGCTGCGGGGCCCCCAGAGGGTCTGGGGGCCCCCTGGGGGCCCCCTGGTGGGCCCCCTCAGGGCTGCTGCTGGCCTTCATACCCTCTTTTGGATTCTTCAGAAGCTGAGCTGCATGCACGGGGGTGGGGCCCCAACATGTGGCCCCTAGGTGAGCCTTGGGGGGCCCCTCAGGGCCTGCTTGGGAGGCAGCAGCAGCAGCAGCAGCAGCAGCAGCAGCAGCAGCAGCCACTGTCTGTCAGTCGCGCCCTCAGCGCCATGGGGGCCTCCGCGTGGGGCCCCTTCTTACGCCGCCCCGGGGGGGAGGACATGCCAGTGGGGCCCCCAGCTGAGTCAGCAGCAGCAGCAGCAGCAGCAGCAACAGCAGCAGCAGCAACAGCAGCAGCAGCGGAAGGACTGACGCAGCGGCAGCTGCAAGCACAACGGCTGGATGCTCCAATGACGCCTGCGCAGCAAGACAACCTGCAGCAGCAGCAGCAGCAGCAGCAACAGCAGCAACAGCAGCAGCAGCAACAGCAGTCCCAGCAGCAGAAGGAGCCCCACAAAGGCTTGAATGGGGCTCGCGCTGCCTCTAAGATCCCGCTGCCGCCAGTGAGGCGGGCAAGCAGCAACAGCAGCAGCAGCAGCAGCAGCAGCAACAGCAGCAGCAGCCGTTACCTGGACCGGCAGGAGCAGCAGCGGCAGCAAACCCCACAAGCTGCGCCTGCAGCAGCTGCAGCAGCAGCTGCAAGGGTGGCCTCCAGCAGCAGACGGCGCAGCTCAGCCATCCCGCCAGCAGCAGCAACAGCAGCAGCAGCAACAGCAGCAGCAGCAGCAGCAGCAGGAGCTCCAAGGAACGGAAGGCGGTGCAGCCAGCAGCTGTCAGCAGCAGCAGCAGCAAATGCTCCCAGGGGGCCCCCCCTGCCTCGTCCTTTGGAAGCAGCAGACACAAAAGGGGGCCCCCGAAGGGCCCCCGGGGGGCCCCCCAGTAGGGGTTCAGAGGGGCCCCCATTATGTGGGGGGCAGCAGGTGAAGCTTTTTTGGTCTTTTCCCAAAATAGATAAAATAATTAAAGATGAAAAAGGGAAAAGTTCATTATTGGATTTATTTTGTTTATTTATTTGCTGCTTTTTGTTTTCTTTTGAATTGCAAAAAGCCAAAAATGCATTTCTTTCTCTGCAGATTCCAAAAGCCCTTCTCACCCCACAAACAGCAGTACCCAAAGTTGACAAGGCAGCTCAGGGGCCCCTGGGGGCCCCCGGGGGGCCCCCCCGCCCCGTGTCATTCTTCAAGTGGCTGGAGCAGGTGGAGCAGCAGGAGCAAAAGGACAGCAGCAGCAGCAGCAGCAGCAGCAGCAGCAGCAGCAGCAGGTGCATGACTGCGGTGACGACGGCCGATGGAGACAGCGAGCTGCAGTTTGCTCAGGAGACAGAAGCAGAAGAAAAAGAAAATATAAATTTGAACTGCAGCAGAGCAGCAGCAGCAGCAGCAGCAGAAGCAGCAGCAGGAGCAGCAGCAGAAGCAGCAGCCGAAGCTGTACGTACACCCCAGCCCCACAGCACTCTGCTTTCCTGCTGCTGCTCTCCGTTGTCTCCTTTGTCTCCTTTTGTCTCTTTTGCTTCTTTTGTTTCTTTGAAACTCGCTGAAGCCCTCCACTGCTGCGGGGGGACTTGCTGCTGCTGCTGCTGCTGCTGCTGCTGCTGCGTCGGCTTGCTGCAGCAGCCCCTTTGCTTCATTTTTGCCTCTTTCTTCTCCGGGTTTTTTCTGTCTTTTCCGCCTCTGCATGCACCTGCTAGCAGTAAATAAGTAAATAAATATTTGATTTAATTGATTATTTAATTAATTAATTAATTAATTAATTAATTAATTAATTTGTTTTTTTGGTGTGTCAATTTGCCCCCTCAGCCGCGGGCGTACCTGCAGGCCTCCGATTTCGCCCCGTGCGATTTGCTGCTGGGGTTGGGGCGGTGAGAAAAAAGAAATAAAATAAAAAAGATTAAAATAAATAAATAAATAAATAAATAAATAAATAAATAAATAATAAATAAATAAATAAAAGATAAAAAGGATTAAATGGAAATAAATAAGTCGTAGCAGCTCAGGGATTTAAAAGCAATAAAGCGAAGCAGAAAGACGCAGAAAACCAGCACCCCTGCTGCTGCTGCTGCTGCTGCTGCTGCTGCAGTTTCTGATGCAGCTAATTTTGCGCAGAAGCTGCTGCGGCGGCTGTTGCATTCGCTCGCGCTGCAGTGGCTGCTGCTGCTGCTGCTACTGCAGCAGCAGCTGCTGCTGCAGCTGCTACTGCAGCAGCAGCAGCTGCTCCTGCTGCAGCTTGTGCTGCGCTTTTCTGCAGCACAAGCGAGGTCGTGCTTGCCCGCTGCGTGGGGGGCCCCCTGCTGCTGCAGCTGGAGGAGGAGGGTACAGTTGGGGGCCCCCAGGGGGCCCCCCCTTTTGTTGCTTTGAAAATATTGCAGAAGTGCAAAATAGCGGAACTGGGGCTTAGAGAGCAAGTCCGTAGAGAGCGAGCTCTCCATTCCTCCGTCAGGTGCCCAAAACCCTAAACCCTAAACCCTAAACCCTAAACCCTCGACAGCAACTCATCAGCAGAGGCCAGGAAGGCTGCAGCAGCAGCGCAGGGGCTTCCGGCGGCGCTGCAGCGCAAGAAGCAGCAGCAGCAGCAACAACAACAGCAGCCGCACCAGCAGCAGCAGCAACAACAACCGCAGCAGCAGCAGCAGCAGCAACAACAGGCGCAGCAGCAGCAGCAGCGGCAGCAGCTGGAGTGGAATGGGGTTGGGGTTTGCGGCTGTGCTGCTGTTGAGGTGTACAGACACCCCAACGTGGTGCGGTTTTGGGGCTCTTTTGAAGACAGAGAACATTTGGTGTTTGTTCTTGAATATGCCAACAGAGGGACTCTCCGACACAGATTCAGGTTTGCTGCTAGGGTTTAGGGTTTAGGGTTTAGGGTTTAGGGTTTAGGGTCTGGGGCGTCGTTGAGGGTTTGGGGTTTGTGGTTTGGTCTGCGCTGCAGGGAAAAGGGAGGCCCTTTGCCTGAACAAGAAACAGCCAGCGTAGGCCTAGCCCCAAACCCTAAACCCTAAACCCTAGGGTTCCGACGCTGCAGTGGTTTGCTCTTGCCAGGGCTTAAGGTCTAGGGTTTAGGGCTTAGGGTTTAGGGTTCGAGGCCTCAGGGGCCGCTGCTGCTGCTGCTGCTGCTGCTGCTGCTGCTGCTGCTGTGGCCTTTGCAGTACATAGCGCAAACAGCTGCTGCTCTCGCTCACTTGCATGAGAACAACATTATCCACAGAGGTGACAAACCCTAAACCCTAAACCCTAAACCCTCGCGGAGGGCCTCTAGGCTTTGTAGGGGAGTGTCAGCGCTGCGGGGCCCGCGAGGGAGGGGCCTGCTAAGGCTAAGATTTAGGGTTTAGGGTTTAGGGTTTAGGGTTTAGGGTTTGCGTTTCTGCGGCGGCAGATATAAAGCCAGAGAACATCCTGCTGCACAGAACTTCGCCCTCTGGTGAGCATGCAGCATTTTCAGGGTTTAGGGTTTAGGGTTTAGGGTTTAGGACAGCCGTCAAGTTTTAGGGCTTCAAGCTAAAGCTCCAAGTACGGGGCTAGGGTTTAGGGTTTAGGGTTTAGGGTTTGGGGATTTTTCTATTTGCATCTTCAGGCCCTCTAAGAGTGCTTTTGGGGGATTTCGGCTTTTGCTCATTTGTTGGGGGAAGAGAAAAACGCCAAACGTTTTGCGGCACTGTCTCCTGTGAGGCAAGGGTTTAGGGTTTAGGGTTTAGGGTTTAGGGTTTAGGAGTTGGAAGCCGGAGGCGAGACAGAAAGTTTGACGCGTTTGCTGAGAAACTTCCGAAAGTCTTCTTTCTGGGGCTTTCAGCTCACGGCTTAGACGCCAGGGTTTAGGGTTTAGGGTTAGGGTTTAGGGTTTAGGGTTAGGGTTTAGGGTTTAGGGTTTAGGGTTTGTGCAGATCTAGCGCCGGAGATGTTTCGAGACTGCCACGAAAGAAGCGCCGACGTCTACAGTTTGGGCCTTTGTCTTTGGGAGGGTTTGAGGGGATCGCACCCGATCCCAGAGCAGCAGCAGCAGCAGCAGCAGCAGCAGCAGCAGGACCAGCAGCAGCAGCAGCAGCAGTTTCTGGAGTTTGTCTTCGAGCCGTTCATTCCCCTCGACGCACAAGACTTGATTAGAAAGGTAAATTGCAGGTGCAGGCGGAGACTGCTGCTGCACCTGTCCGGGGGTTTAGGGTTTAGGGTTTAGGGTTTAGGGTTTAGGGTTTAGGTTGCTGCTGCTGCTCAGATGTGCGCCCAAGACCCAGAAGACCGCATTGCCGCGTGTGAAGTGCTGCAGCACCCCTGGGTCTTAAGAAACCTACAGCAAAACCCTAAACCCTAAACCCTAAACCCTAGAGGATTGACGCAGAGCTCTGATGCTCTCTAAACCCTAGACTCCAAACCCTCGGCTGCTCTAAACCTCCATTTCAATTTTTTCATTTTCTGCCGCAAACACTTTGGCGGTGCGCGCACGCGCGCAAACCCTAAACCCTAAACCCTAAACCCTAAACCCTTGATATCAAAAGGCCTTCGGAAGAGCCCAATAGGGAGACAAATCAAAAACTCTGGACAGGGCAATGCTACACTTAAGCAGCAGCAGCAGCAGCAGCTGCTGCTGCTGCTGCTGCTGCTGCAGCAACAGGTGCCGCATGCATATGTGGTTGAGACCAGAAAGGGTTTGAAAATTAAAAAAAAGAAGCCGCGGGGTTGCTTGCAGCTGTGGAGCCCTCGCGAGGCTTTAGGGTTTAGGGTTTAGGGTTTAGGGTTTGAGCAGAGGGGAGCAGCAAACGGACAACTCTTTGTCGGTTAGCTACTTTAAACCCTTAAATCAAAAGCTCTGCAAACCCTAGACCCCACACCCCAGCACTAAACCCTAATCGTAAACCCTAAACCCTAATCGTAAACCCTAAACCCTCGACTCCAGCCCCGAGCGGTCCCGAGCTATAAGTCTTGCTGCGGGCCTAGGGTTTAGGGTTTAGGGGTAGCCTCAGAAAAGCCCTGGAGGTGACCCTGGACCTTCTTGAAGAGCCTGTCGAGGGTTTAGGGTTTAGGGTTTAGGGTTTGTGGCGGGAAAACCCTCGAAGTGACAACAGTTTGGGGAATAAGTCCCAAATAGTCCCCCGAACTCAGCGGCAGGGCCTAGGGTTTAGGGTTTAGGGTTTAGGGTTTTTCTGCGAAAAAAGCGCTGGAGGCTCCCCTGGACCCGTTTCAAGCGCAACCGAGGGTTTAGGGCCTAGGGTTTAGGGTTTAGGGTTTAGGGTTTAGGGTTTGCGGCGGGGAAAGCCCTGGAAGTGACGACAGTTTGGGGAATAAGCCCCAAATAGTCCCCCGAACTCAGCGGCAGGGCGCCCATGCCGTGGGCGTGGTAAAGGACGTAGAGACAGAAGAGCAGGCAAATTGCGGTGTACGTACACCTGGCGAGCGGGACGCAGCGGAGGTGTGGGGCGGCGGCGAAGGCGCTGAAGTGTACGGGCAGCTGGCGCAGTGTACGTACACCCGAGTGCAGCGCGTACACCGCAATCAAGACCCCGAAAATGCCGCTGCTGCTGCCCATGTAAAGCATCAGCAGATTCATAGAAAGGGCCTTGGCGGGGGCCACTGCGCTTTCCCACACTTTCCGCTGCAGCAAAGCCACGGCTTCTTCCGACAGCGGCGGCGCTGCTGCTGCTGCTGCTGCTGCTGCGGGCGCTGCTGCTGCTGCTGCGGCGCCCGGCGCTGCTGCGGCACGCGGAGAGCCGCAGGCAGAAGAAACGCCCTGCTGCTGCTGCTGCTGCTGCTGCTGCTGCTGCTGGCGGAGTGCAGCGAGGAACTCCGTCTCCTTCTCCAAACCCTCAGCAGCAAATTCAAAGCCCGGGGGGTTCTCCACGGCCTCCAAGGGGCCCCCGGGGGCCCCACAGAAGGTGAAGTCCCAGCAGCGCCCAGCAGCAGAAGCCATTGCGCAGCAGCAGCAGCAGCAGCAGCAGCAGCAAGTGGGCCCGCGAGCTGCAGGGGCGGAAGCAGCAGCAAGTTGTGCGGCGACTCAGCTGTCTGTACACCCCAGACAGCAGCAGCAAGCAGCAGTTCGGCTGCGCAGCTCCAATCCGCTGTGCAGCTTCCGCGAGAGCAGATCTTTGAACAGAATACTCCTTTAAATGGTATTTTGTTTTTAATTTCCTTTTTTTAAAGTCTAAGTCCAATTCGCCGGCACAAACAAAAGACAGAAACGCCCTTTCAAGCCCCAGCACTCCGTGGCGCATGCGCCTCGCGAGCAGCCCTTTGTTTCTTTTCTTTCCCCTTCAGACAAACATTTAATCATTAAAATAATTATTTTAGAATAATTATTTTTAATAATTGCTTTCATTTTTAACTCAACTTCGTCGCAATTAACAGCTTCTTCGCGAGAACGGCCGCCGCAGGAGCTGCGCATACACCTCAGCTGGCGGCTGGTGTGGCGGTCCGTCGAGACGGGGGAATCGAGCCGTAAAACTAAATAAATATTAAATTAAAAAGACACTAAATCTATTTTAAATATAATATTTATAAAAACAATTTTTAAAAGATACTTCTATTTATAAAAACAATTTTAAAAAGCTATTTCGCCCAGTGGAAGAACCAAATTCCGTTCTGTGGCTGTGCCAGAGGATCGCAGCTAGCCCAGCGCCAGCTAGCCACGCAAAGCTAATCAGCAGGCCCAGCTAGCCAGCCGTAAAGGCCACCCCAGTCAGCCTCTCAGGGTGGCTAGCTGGCTAGCCAAGCTAGCTACTCAAGGTGGCTAGCTGGCTAGCCAAGCTAGCTACTCAAGGTGGCTAGCTGGCTAGCTGGCTAGCCAAGCTAGCTACTCAAGGTGGTTAGCTGGCTAGCCAATCTAGCCACCTTGAGTAGCTAGCTGGGTGCTTCCTAGCCTCCCTGCAGCGCAGCAGATGGCGCTACAGACAGCTGGCTAGCCATGCTTTGCCGGCCTTTCCAGCTAGCTAGCTAGTTAGCTAGCTAGCTAGCTAGATATCTAGCTAGCTAGCTAGCTAGCTAGGCCTGTTGCTACCTGGGGCCGATGGCATGTTTTGCGGAAGAGATGACTTTGCTGATGAGGGGCTGCTTCCAGAAGAGGTGTCTGTACACCTCAGAGTGCTGCACTGCTGTGGCTATGCAAATTGCTGCGTTGCGCTGCACTTGCTGCTGCTGCTCGAAGTCCAGGGCTTCTGCTGCTGCTCGCAGCAGCGGCACAACAGCATCGCGCTGCTGCTGCTGCTGCTGCTGCTGCTGCTGCTGCTGCTGCTGCTGCTGTGGGGCTAGTTGCATGCGCAAAATGCTGGTTAAGAGCACCAGGGCGTTCCCAAGGGAGCTAAACACGTCTGCTGCTGCTGCTGGGTCTGCTGCTGCTGCTGCTGGGTCTGCTGCTGCTGTTGAGCTGGTGCTGCGCCCTTTTGAAACAAGCAGCAGCAGCAGTCGATGCAGCAGCTGCAGCAGGTCGGTGAGCAGCAGCTGAGGTGCTGCTGCCGCCCCTGGCTTCGAAGTTTTTGCTGTTGCTGCTGCTGCTGCTGCTGCTGCTGCCCTCTCCAGCAGCTGCTGCCGCTGCGCTGACACAGACAGCAGCCGGATTGCTGCTGCTGCTGCTCCACCCCAGCACCCGCGGCCAGCAGCATCCCGCAGCACTGCTGCTGCTGCACCTTCCGCTACCACAACAGCAGCAGTGAAATCTGTTGCTGCTGCTTCCTGCTGCTGCTGCTGCTGCTGATGCTGCAGAATGCGCGCACAGACGGAGAGAGAACGCGACAGGAGCTGCGGCGCTGCTGCAGCTGCTGCTGCTTCCTCTCCATTAGACTGTGCTGCAGCAGCAGCAGCAGCTGCTGCTGCTGCAACGGAAGCTGCCACGGCGACTGCCACCTCAGAGAGGCACAAGCCCTTTACAAACTCTGCAGCAGCTGCTGCTGCTGCTGATGGCTCACTGGCAGCAGCAGCAGCAGCAGCAGCATCGGTGGTCAGATTCAGCAGCAGCCCAAAAAGCTGGTTTAGCAGCAGCAGCCGGTGCTGCCCTTCGGAGAAGAGCAGCAGCAAAAGCTTCGGCACTGCTGCTGCTGCTAAATTCAGAGCGCCTCGGTGCTCCTTCGCCTTGCTGCTGCGGCTGCTGCTGCTGCTGCTGCTGCTGCTGCTGCTGCTGCTGCTGCTGCTGCTGCTCCTGCTGCTGCTGGTCAGCTCATGCAGCAGCAGGGATATCTGTGCGGCTGCTGCTTTGCTGCTGCAGATCCCCATTCTTATTTGAGGGTTTTTTGTTATGTTAATTAGCAAGTCCAGTTTATTGCAAACTGATTCTGCTGCTGCTGCTGCTGCTGATGGTGCCGTTGCTGCTGCTGCTGCCCGTGACTCTTCTGCTGTGGGCAGCAGCGCCTGCAGCAGAACTCCGCCGCGCTGCTGCTGCTGCTGCTGCTGCTGCTGCTGCTGCTTCATTATTTGCTGCTGCAGGACATTCCGCATTGGGGCCTCAAGAGAAAAGTTGCACAGACACCTGTGAGCTGTACTCAGCAGCTGCTCTTGCTGCTGCTGCTGCTGCTGCTGCAGCACAGCTTCGGCGTAGCAGCAGACCCGCTGCTGCAGCGAGAGCCGGCAACTCCCCCTTTCCTTGCAAGCTGCTGCTGCTGCTCCCGTTGCTGCTGCTGTTGCTGCTGCTCCCCAGTGCAGCAGCAGGCCTGCTGTGGTTTCATCTGCTGCTGCAATTCTGGCCATTTCCTTGCGCAGCCTGCGGTGTACAGACAGCTCGCCTAGCAGCGAAGCAGCAGCAGCAGCAAGCGACGGCTCCTGCAGCAGCAGCAGCAAACTCGGCACTGCAGGCAAAATTAGGGATTCATACAGGGCTGCTGGGCTGCTGCTGCTGCACAGCAGCAGCAGCAATTCCAGGGCAGGTTTGCAGTCTACTTCGTTGCTACTGCTGTCACTGTTGCTGCTGTCATTGCTGCTGCTGCTGTCATTGCTGCTGCTGCTGCTGCTGTCATTGCTGCTGCTGCTCTCTTGGTTTGCTGCTGCCTTTTCTTCCCCCTCAGCTTCAGCAGCAGCCGAAGCCTTTTTCATCTCTTGCCCCTGTAGCTCATCCGCTTTCTGCTGCTGCTTCTGCTCCTCATTCTGGACCTGCTGCTGCTGCTGCTGCTGCTGCTGCTGCTGCTGCTGCTGCCGCAGCCTATTTCTAAGGGCCATGGCGTACAATCGAATGTCCTGCAGCACAAAGTCGAGGAGACACCTCGGGGGCCCTCTGGGCAGCCGCAGCAGCAGCGAAGCAGCAGCAGCAGCAGCAGCAGCAGCAGCAGCAGCAGCGCGAGGCTGCAAAGTGCACAGCATTGCACGGGCAGCAGCAGAATCTTTGGTTTGCTGCAGCAGCAACGCGATAGTTTGAGGAGACAGCCGGTGCAGCAGCCCTCCACGCTGCTGCAGCTCCACAAATGCAGCAGCAAATATCCCTGATGCATTGTCTGCTGCTGCTGCTGCTGCTGCTGCTGCTGCTGCTGTGTTGCCCGCCTCTGCTGCTGCTCCTATCGCTGAAGCTCGCCCATCTGTTGATGCTGCTGCTTCTGTCTTTGCTGTTGTTGCTGCTGCTGCCATTGCTGCTTCTGTTGTTGCTGCTGGTGCTGCTGCTGCCTCTGCTGGTGTTGTTGCTGCTGCTGCTGTTGCCTCATTTGTTGTTGTTGCTGCTGCTGTTGCCTCTGCTGTTGTTGCTGCTGTTGTTGTGGGCTGCGAATCTGTTGTTGCTGCTGCATCTTGAACAGCTGCTGGAGCCGAAGACTCTTTACCTGCTGCTACTGTTGCTGTTGCTGCTGCTGCTGCTGCTGCAGCCGCTGCTGCTGTTGCTGCTACCGCCGCCGAAGCGTTCGTTGCTGCTTCTTTTTCTGCTGCTCTCTCCAGTTTTTCTGCTGCTGCTGCTAATGTGTCTGCTGCTGACTTGGCGTTTGTTGATGCGTTAACTTTTGCTGTTGCTGCCGCTGCTTTTGCTGCTGCTGCTGCTGCAGTTGCATCGGCGCTGCAGCAGGCGCTCTGCTGGCTGTCAACAGGAGCAGCAGCACTGCATTTCCGCTGTGCCCCCTGCTGCTCCAGCTGCTGCTGCTGCTGCTTCTGCTGCTGCTGCTCCTGCATCTGCTGCTGCTGCTGCTGCTGCTGTGTTGCTTCAATTAAGATCTTGATCTCTTCGGCGAGAGCTATGGCCTCCTTTGGGTTGGGCAGCAGCTGCTGCGCTGCTGCTGCATCTGCTGCTGCTTCTGACAGCAGCAGCAACTGACGCCGGGCAAAGGCCCGCCGCAGCAAAGCCTTGTAGCAAAGATCCCGGGAATGAGTGTAGCTGCAGCAGCAGCAAGAGAAGCAACAGCAGCAGCAGCGGCAGCAGCACAGTTGTGGCAGCAGCAGCAAACCACCCAGCGCAGCAGCAGCAGCAGCCAAAGCGAGGTCAGCAGCAGCAAACGGCCAGTTAGTTGCAACAGCAGCAGCAGCAGCAAAACACCGCCATTTCCGGCCGCATTAGCAGCAGAAGCAGCATGGCCCCCATTGCTACTAGCACCAGGAGCAAATGCAGCAACAGCAGCAGCATAAGCAGCAGCAGCAAGTGGAGCAGCAACAGCAGCATAAGCAGCAGCAGCAGAAGCATAAGCAGCAGCAGCAAATGCAGCAGCAGCAGCAGCAGCAGCAGCAGCAAGGCGTTACCCTTCTTCGAAGAGTTCGCAAATGTCGAGCAGCTTTGTTGCTGCTTCTGCTGCTTGCTTCCACTTCTCTGTCTTAATTGCTGCTAGGCAAAGGTTGCTGAGGGCGGGGAGAGAGTCTGGTTTTGCTGCTGCAGCAGCAGCAAAAGCTTCCTCGGCTAGCAGCCATTTTGCTGCTGCAGCGTGGGCCCGGCCTGCTGCCAGCAGCGCAGCAGCACGGTGCCGCTGCTCCTTTCGCTGCTGCTGCCTCTTTTCTATATCTTTTTCTAGCTGCTGCAGCTGCGGGGAGTCCGCAGGTGCTGCTTGCTGCAGCAGCAGCTGCTGCTGCTGCTGCTTCTCCTCTTCGTCGCTTTCTGGCTCGAAGTAGCGCCACTTTTCGTAGTCCGTTGGCAGCGATCTTGCTGCTGCTGCTGCTGCTGCTCCTGCTGCTGCTGCTGCTGCTGTGGGGCCGCGCACAATGGCCTTGGTGCGCAGCAGCTGCTGCTGCTTCTGCCGCCGCAGCAGCACTTGCTGCTTCTCCTTCTTTGCTTCTGCTAGCAGCTCCTGCAGCAGCTTCAGCCGCTCTTCCCGGCCTTGCAGCTGCCCCCCACACCGGTAGCACCGCTGCTGCTGCTGCTGCTGCTGCTGCTGCTGGCCATGTTGCAGCTGCTGTCCTTCGTGCTGCTGCTGCCCTTGCTGCTGCCTCTGTTCTTGCTGCTGCTGCTGCTGCTGCTGCTGCTGTGGGGTCTGATATTCTACTTTGCAGCTGGGGCAGTAGAAGTCAAATTTTGAAGAGGGAAGGCCCAGGCCCTCCCGGCCCCGACGTTGCTGCTCCTGCTGCTGCTGCAGTCTCTCCTGCAGCAGTGGCAGCAGCAGCAGCAGCAGCAGCAGCAACAACGGCATCAGCAGCAAAGGCTCAGGCCCAGCAGATGCCTGCAGCTCTAATGAAGCAGCAGCAGTATCTGCTGTTGCTGCAGTGGCCGAGGACGCGCAGCAGCGGCAGCATCAGTGCAGCAAAAGGGTAGAAACAGCAGCACTTGAGCAGCAAAAGGCCAGCAGCAGCAGCAAGAGCAGCAAAAGGGCAGCAGCAGCAGCAGCAGCAGCAGCAGCAGCAAGAGGACAGCTGCAGCAACGCTGCAGACACACGGGGCTTACCTCCGCTGCTATTTGCCTGCCTCTCCGCTGCAGCTGCCGCCGCCGCTCTTCTTGCTGCTGCTGCTGCTCCTCCTGCTGCAGCTGCTCAGGGGTCAAGTCGCCCCGCAGCAGGGCCCGCACCTGCAGCACAGCTGCAGCTGCACTAAGCCATAGAGCAGCAGCAGCAGCAGCAGCAGAGGCTGCAGCAGCTGCAGCAACAGGAACGACAGCTATAGCAGTTGCAGCAGCAGCAACGACAGCTGCAGCAGCAACAGCAGCAGCAGAAGCAGCAGCAACAACGGCAGTCGCGACAGCAGCAGCAACAGTAGAAACACTGGCAACAGAAGCAGCAGCAGCAGCGGAAGCAGCAGCAGCAGCAGCAGCAGCAGAAAGTGCTGCTGCAGGACTGTGTTACCCTCTCAGCTACTTCTTCTGCCCTTTCTAAAAAGAGCTCTGCCTCTTCTGTTGTTGCTGGATAAGCAGCAGCAGAAGCTGCCGGATGTAAGCCATTATCTGCTGCTGCAGCAGCAGCTGCTGCTGCTGCTGCTTCTGCTGCTGCTGCTTCTGCTGCTGGGAAGTCGCCTGAGTTGGTGCTGCAACTTGCTGCTGCCATTCTCACTGGTGGGCTCTTCTCTGCTGCTGCTGCAGCTGGCGCTGCCCTTGCCGCTGCTGCTGCTGCAGCCGCTACTGCTACTATTTCTGCTGCTACCACTGCTAGTGCTGCTGCTGCTGCTGCTGCTGCTGCTGCTGCTGCTGGTTATGCTTGTGCGCGGGGTCACTGGGGGAGTGACCCTGTGTGTACTGCTGAGCCGCTGCTGCTGCTGCTGCTGCTGCTGCTGCTGCAGTGAGTGCAGCAGCAAGCTAAGTTAAATATAATTTAGTAAGGAGAAGATGAGCAGCAAATGGAGAAAAGATCAAGCAGCCGATTTGCACAAAGAAGGCAGCAAAGAGGCAGCAGCCACGGGCCACTGGACGCGCCAGCTGATATCAGCGCCCATCTGTTTGTTTTTCCGCTAATTGTCTTTAATTCTTTTCTAAATTTAATATTTTAAAACATTTCTTTGAATATTTTTTGCATTTCCCCCTTTAATTTGGCTGTTTCGCCCCCAGCGCCTCTTGCGCGCGGCCGCCGCGGTGTCTCGGCTTCCGGCGGTGTGTGTGCCTCGCTGGCGTCCATTCGAGGAAAAATAAACGGAAATATAATTATTTATTACTTTTAATTTAAAATATTAAATGAATTAATGTTTCAGTTTTCTCTTTTGTGGTTTATTTGAGCTCAAGATACACTCCAGCTCGCTCGGCCTTGCTACGGTGGTGGTTTCAAGTGTATGTACACTCGACGCCACTCGAGATGCACAGCTGAAACCCTTTTATTTTTTTTGTTTTTCATTTTTTATTTTGCAAAACTTTATTTAATTATTATCTTCTTTAATGCTTTACTCTTTGGCTGCAGCATTTCGGCATTTCAGCCATCTGTTTTCCCTCTTTTCCCTGCTGTTCCCGCGTTTCTGTGTTTGCTGCGGTGAACAAATGCAAAAAGTCCTGAGGCTGATATAGTTTTAAAGGGTTTTAAAATGAATAAACTTAAATAAAATATTCTTTTGAAGTAAATGAAGTAAATTCGAATCATAAAAATAAAGTCTCACCCTCTGTTTGACGCAAACCCCCACGCAAACCCTAGCCCCTCGCCCGCAAGCCCTTCCAGCATGGTTCGCCTAAACCCTAAACCCTAAACCCTCGCCCGTAAGCGCTCCCAATGTGGCTCTAGCAAGCCCTAAACCCTAAACCCTAAACCCTAAACCCTAAACCCTAAACCCTAGACTGTACAATGATTTCGGCGCCAAAGGGCGGATGTGCACGGGGGCCCCTCAAGGCTAGCAAGCAGCGTGAAAGAAGTCTTTGAAACTAAAACAAGCAGCGGCAGCGCCGGCCACTTTGCCGCTGCTGCAGCTGCTGCTGCTGCTGCTGCGTGCTGCCGAGCCCTCTGGGGGTGGGGTTCAGAGCCCCGCGTCCCTGCGGGAAGTGGGGGTGTCGGAGGTGGTCTGGGAGTCCTTGCTGCTGCTGGCGCCCCCCACCCCCTCCCCCTGCTGCTGCTGCTGCTGCTGCTGCTGCTGCTGCTGCTGCTGCTGCTGGTCTGGGAGCTGCAGCAGCGCGAAGAGGACCTTGTCTGCGGGCTTGAGCTGCGTGCCGGGCTCGAGGTTCTCCAGCCAAGGCGAGAGCTGCTGCAGCAACTTGGGTTTGGTGTTGAGTTGTTGGAAAAGAAGTGCCATGGCCTGGGGCAGGAAGGGTTCTAGGAAGTGGGCCAGGGTGTACATACACTCCAGCCCCACGCGGATTATTTCTTCCCTCCTTTCCACTTCTCCGCAACTCCAAGGAGCAGCAACTGTCACAAACTTGTTCAAGTCCCTCACGCCCTGCAGCACGGCTTCCAGGGCCTCCCGCAGCGCCACAGCAGCAAAAGCCTTCTCCACACTTCTCCGCAGCCCCTCCACATCCAGGGGGGCCCCCCCCCCCTCCATCGCCGCCCTCGCC